TACTTTATTTATTCCAATTTCAATTCTGGGCAAAATAGAACAAAAAATGGAGCTGACAATTTTGTGAAAAAAGTATGCGTAGGTATCATTTACTACGTTTATACGCACGTATTATTTGCAAATAACAATTTGCAAAATGGCAAACTGTGCCGTATAAACGCTGATTTAATTTTTTATTTGCAAATAACTAAATCACGCAAATAAGTATTGATTAGTGGTACTATTTGCAAATAAGCGCAATACGCCGCCATTCTTAGGTTTATTTTCTTTTTCGATGGGCCTTTTAATAATCAAGACCAAGATTACGTATAAACATAAACCTTTTTCTTTGTTTCGCTTTTGCTTTGACTTTTCGTTTCAAATTCATTGGAAAATTTGATCGATAATTTCCAATAATTGTGATTTTGTAAGTAAATTTTTAGTAAAATTTATACTATATATATCCAACATATTATTGGAGCAATGCCTCGGATGGCTACGATAATGCACTTTGATCTAACAAAATAAACGCATAATTATTTTATAAAATAACTGATAGAATTCAGAAATGTAATTTTAACAGGTAACAAAAATAAAGGCAATAATAAAATTCCCTTTAAAGTTAAGATAATTAAAAACTAAGTACGCATATACATATATGCTTAACTTAAGGAAAAAAATACAAATAAAGTTCCATACGGGCTAATATGTCATTTTTATTAGAATTTAAGAATAATTAAATAAAGAGAATGGTATAATTTAATTTGTTATAATATGAATAAATGAAAGACGGAAAATAGTCCCTATTTTTTAAATTTTAACCATCATCACATGTGTGTGGTACGACCGTGTGGCCTTTTAAGTTTTACAAATAATAATTTTAAGGTAGAAAAATTAAACTGAATAATAATTATTAAAATCAATATATTTGATCGAAAAAATAAAACTAAGTAATAATAATTTCATTTGAGCGAAAAAATGAAACTGTAATTACACTGGTTTACGGAAAAAATATTTTATTAATGCAAGCTTCATTTAACTGGTGTGGGGTCCACTGATATATGTATGTATTGGAAATAGTACCCAAAAAGTAGTAAAAATAATCCTAATCTTTTCTACCTTTTTCTACTACCCCAAAATGCATGGCCCCTATTGGCATGCAGAAAAAGTGAGGTAATATAAGTGACATCACCTTATATTTATTTCACCATGAGATCGAACTATATTTTAAATGAAAACTATTAAAAATCAATAAATTAACAGGAGTTACAAATAATATCGCCAAAATAACGTAAGCGAATTTTTTTTCAAAATTTTATTTTTGATGCAGAAATGCATCTAGATTCTCTAGGAACATTTCTGCATCAAAAAGAAAATTTTGAGTAAAATGTCGCTTACGTTATTTTGGCGGTTAGGGCTCGATATCATTTAGAATTTTGCTGCTATTATTTTTATTGCTGCGAACATACATATACATATACATATGTATGCATGTCTGTATGATTTTTTGGACTTTAATTTTAAACGGAAAGGTAGGTGGATTTACGCAAATATGTTGCTCGACTTGTTACTAAATGCTGATTTATAAAAGTATGCCACTGACTGCGGTAGCATCGAAACGTGCGATGGAAAGTTCGCTAGCTTTGACGGTGTACACGTGATCATAATTGACATACAAATTGAATGATTATTTCAGCTATTTGGCTGAATATCTATTTGAGGATTAGGGTTTATGAACTCGTAAATTTTTAATTATAGTATGTAGGAGGGTAAGTGAATAGGCGTTGCGATTAAATAACAATGTCATGTAATCGGTTGGACTTGTTGGATTATGTAATTAATTCGCATAGGTCAATGGGGTAGGTGCCTTTGCCCTGGAGTAATCACATTCGTTTTCAAGAGGTTCTTTGTTGTATAATAAAATGTCGCCAGTGATACTGCAAAACGTAATACATACTCTCATAAACTTAAGGCAAAACTGTCTACGTTTTGCTGATGAAGATGAACGATTAACGGTAGCGTTCAGATATGTTCAAGTGACAGATCATTTAAGCACCAATGGTATTAACTGGCGTAGAACGTTTTACAGCATGGCTACTTCTTCTGTTCTCCACTTTTATGCGCTTTTTGGCACAAGCGAGTGGTCAAATCGAATTTGCAAAATATACATCGTCACATATTTTCAGTTGAATTTTCCCAATTATTGCAAACAAGTAAATACTGGAACACTTCTAGCAACACTTTGAATAAAAGATTTTGCGAATTTACAGAAAAGAAAAACTTCATACTAATTAGATGGATTCTATCTGTATTAAAAGATTTTGTATTACAGTATTTTGGCCTTATCGGATTTTCACTGCCACTTGTGGACTTAACAAATTTTCCTTGTATTGAATATAAATGAGAAAAAACAAAGCAAGTACCTTAATCCTTTTCAAAACATTGTATTTTTAATTTCACTTGATTCTTTTATCAAATTAAGAGGTTTCATAAAAAGCGGATTTATCAACTTTTCACTCTAAGTTAACGAGATACTACACATATGGCAGCATTAATCCAGATCAACTCGTTAATTTGGAATTACCTCGGCTTAGCAGGTCCTGCAGTCCTGGAATTAATTTGGATCAGAGGAATTTCCGATGACAACACTAGCCAAACCGACCAGCTGTTATCTATGGTACAAGTGAGAGTGGTGAGAGCTGCGGACTGCAATTCCGTAGGACCCAGGTTGGATCCTCGATTCAAGTGATTACTAATATTTTTGTATACATTTTATTTTAATTTAATTTTTTTTCTTTTATTTCATTTTATGTATTTTATTATTTGATAATTAAATTTTTTTTTACTTTAATTTTATTAGAAAAGTCCACTGCTATAATAACATAAAAAAATAAAAGCAATAATTGAATGAATTAAAAAAAAACTGAAAGCTCCACTGACCGTAGGACTCGAACTCACGATCTCACGATCCTCTAATCTGCATTACTGCCACCTGTCAGGGTACATTTTTGTCTATTCTTTTACTGACATCCTACCTGTTGCTGGCGGGAGTACACACCCAGGCATGCGAAGAGCGATGTCCACGTTCGGGTAAATGGTTTGAAGACCTTCAGCTCTTAGCCATTCCAACAAACTGATAGCACTCTCCCGTTCCTAATTTTTTGTGATGTACTGGGCATGAAAGTGGAGGTATTCTTCTTCAAAGTCTGCAGAAAAAACTATTTGTAATGCCGTAGCCTTTTCTTCGACTTCAGACGCGCTCAATTTCGTAAGATTAGTAACAAAATAAAATTTATTATAAAGTTGCTTATACCTCGGTGTTTTTACAATCATACAGCTTTTAATAGAAAACTACCCGTATACCCGTTTTTGTATTAATTACGTTAAAGCTGTATGATCTAAAAAACGTCTTCCTCTAGTTTTGCGCTGAAACACGCTAAACGATTTTGGGCGAGTCCATTTGAAAATCCCAAGTTAAGCGAAATCTATCTCTACCTAGTCTCTTCCTCCGTTTTGACCAGCATGTTCCGCGGCGTAACAAATGCGTAAAGTGCCATACATTTTCCGAAGGATTTTTCTCTCGAACACGCCAAGGCTGCACGAGATAGATATATAAAGTGTGATTTTCATTCGTCGAGAGCTAATCTCGACTGAATTTCAAGGCAGACTTTTTATTAGTGTTTATGCTCGATCTATGACAGATGATACTTTGTTTTGCCCGCGATCATTACTAGACCCACGCGCTTTACTTCTGCACCTAATTTCGAGAAGGCAGCACAAAACGTCGAGATTGTTGAGGCCGATGATTTCGGATCAGGGAGTCGCCCTGTCTGAAACCATGAACTCTTCAACCGAATATGTGGCCCGTTTCTGTAACTTTGCTATATAACAACGAATCATTCATATCGCAAAGATACAGACACGGGGTAATGAACAAAAGGGTAGGAATTGAATACAGCTGAGCCACTGTGAATAGATACCCACGTGGCTCACTGGGGTACTGCTAAGCTGAAGAAAGCCGCGATGACTGCCTGGGATCATTATATATCATTATTTCAATGACGAATCTGCTGGTTGAGACTAGCCGCCCGTACTTTGATTTAGAACACATGCAACGCAACATCCCTTGTTTAGCCTCAAAGAGCTTGGACAGGTTATTTCGGATTTGGGTGAAACCAAAGTTTGTGCTCAACGCCGTTCTATTTAGCAGGAAAAGTTTAGCATGGATAAGAAGTTTCTCTTCTTGCTACCAAATGCAGCACTGAAACCTAAAAAAAAATTATTGTATGTGTTAATTTACTTATTTATGATCTGACACCACGAGTTGCTGAACCTAGAGTTTGGGTGACCCACAGTGTCATCGCTATTCCTTTATACTAACATGCATCTCTTTTACCAATAGGCCCGAAATTTAAAGGGCGATTCAATTTATAAACTTTCCAGATATTTGTGTCGGATTCTGTACGAAAGCTGGAAAAAAATGTGTGTCGAAGAGGGTTAAACTATATTGTTAAATGTTGACATTGAAATTTTTGCCACTACTACATAATATACATATTAACCACATTCAAACGTGAATGGTTCATTGGAATTAAAAAGGGCACGAGCAGATATTTGCTCATACTAGATGTGTACACCGTTTGTCTGTCGACCGAGTGTTCGGTGATTGCGGATTGTGCAGTGCAACTCATTTAAATTTACTTATTTGAATTATGTAAAATTGCTTTTGTTTTAGAATTTTTGCGCTGATAAGCTTCGAGCTGTTGGTATATAGAATAACTGGCATTGGTGGTGGTTGCTAGATAGTTTGTGGCATGTGGGAAGCTCGAATGCGATCAGTGCATTTTTTGACGCAAGCCAAGTACGACGAAACACTCAGAACCAACGGCAAATGATAAGTGTTGAGTAATAAATACACTAAAAATTAATAATCTACACCTGAATGATAATTCAAATTAATCAGTGGTAATCGAAAAAATCTGCTAATACACTTTGAAGCAAGTNCAACGGCAAATGATAAGTGTTGAGTAATAAATACACTAAAAATTAATAATTTACACCTGAATGATAATTCAAATTAATCAGTGGTAATCGAAAAAATCTGCTAATACTCTTTGAAGCAAGCAATAGTACATAAATAGCCATAAATTTTAACCGAATTTCGAGCAAATACAGACTTTCCTTATACAAAAGCGAATGTGATAAGCGCACTTAGCTAATCTGCGACTACGATAAGCATTCACGTGAACACTTAATAAGTACTTTAACGCAAAAAAAATGTATAAATTCGCAGTGAACGCGCAAACTGTGCGCGACTAAGTGGCATAACCGCCTAGCGATCGATAATTAACGAGTTCTGTGAAGGACGTTTAGCAAAGGATATCTGAATTGCTTGCCGCCAACAACTGTAGANGTGAAGGACGTTTAGCAAAGGATATCTGAATTGCTTGCCGCCAACAACTGAATTAGTGTCTCCACGCCATGTTCTCGCTCACCAAGCTCTTCACGCTTTGTATTGTGCTGAGTATTTTCGCTGGTTTGCCACGCGCCGCACAGTGCGACTCCTCCTACTATGAGAAGTACTATACGGCTCGTCGTTTCATACCACTCAAGCGCAACTCGTTGATCCCCTACAACTTCACAGTTTCGCTGAGCGATCAGCCGATTGCTAGCTATGAACAAGTCGCTATGGTTGGCGATGCCAAACAGTTGGGCGGATGGCGCGCAGATAAGGCTATCTTGCTCAATCGTACACAGGATCACAAAGTGTGGACGGCCAGCGTAGCGTTACCCGTAAATACAACGGTAAATTATCGTTACTTTATCGCTGCCGTTGACAATGAGACTGGTGTCGTGCACGTACGCCGCTGGGAATCGCACATCAAGGCGCGCAGCTTTGCCGTGGGCACCGTGTCAGGCAATCACACTGATGCTTGTGGCTGGATTGATCCGAAACAACGCGAACTGCAGCGCGGTTGGCTGAATGCGGGCAATATTGTGCAATTCAAGCTCTTTCGCAACCCCTTGAATGTGAATGAGACACGCTTGGGAAATGAAGAGCTGCGCTTGAAGCTGCAGCCGGTGGAGCCGCGTCGCCTGTCTGCCATTCTGCCTTCGGCTAAGGCCAACATGGAATATGTGCGCATGGTTTACGGTGATAGTTACCTCCGCGCACAGCCAGAGTTTGGTGTGCCCTACAAGCCGAACGACATACTCATATTCCACTCGACGGTGTCACGACTGGACCAAGTAGCTTACCTACTGAAGTTGTATGCAACGCAGAACGGCAATGAGCTGGTGCGGCTGGTGGGTTATCAATACATTTATCCGGAATATTTGCAGGGCACCGAAGGCAGCTTCACCATAAATCTTTTGTCGCCCGTTTGGCTGAATGCTATTGGCAGTTTAGAAGTACAGTATTTGGTAATAAAACCACTGCCGAATTCCACAATTGACTTCCACACATCGTTCGTGGATTATTGGCGCAGCAATTGGACGGCGCTAGATGTGGGACATCGTGGTCTGGGTAAGAGTCTGAAGCAGGCGACTAATGCTCCACCGATAATTGAGAATACGGTCGCTTCTATGAAGGCTTCTGCAGAATTGGGCGCTGATTTGGTGGAGTTTGATGTAATGCTGACAAGCGACTTGGTTCCGGTGATCTACCATGACTACTACATCTATGTGTGCATGGATCCCAAGACACCCACCAGCATCGATGACCTCACCAAAGTGCTCATCAAGGATGTTACCTATGAGCAGTTAAAAAATTTAAAGACCTATCAGGTAATTGGCAACAAGATTATCGAGTATCCGGCGCACAATAATGTGGAGCAGGAGGATCAACGACTCTTTCCACTATTCGAAGACTTCCTCACCAAGGTAAATAAATCGGTGGGCTTCGATATTGAAATTAAGTGGCCCCAGTTGACATCGATTGGAACACTCGAGAGCGAACAAACGATTGACAAGAACACCTATATCGATCGCATAGTAGATGTGATGCTACAACATGGCTGCGGACGTTTGAGTTTCTTCACAAGCTTCGATGCCGATATTTGCACGTTGCTGCGCTTTAAGCAGAACATGTATCCGGTTATGTTCCTTTCATCAACTACATTGGGCAGTTTCGCAGATCCACGTTCGGATTCGATCTACGACACTGTGAATAATGCGCAAGCTTTCGATTTGGCAGGCATTGTGCCAAATGCGGTGCACATAAAAAGCAATCCGAATTGGATCCAGGTAGCAACGAAACAGGGGAAAAAAGTATTCTTGTGGGGTGATACACTCAAGGATACCGAATCGATTGCTTGGTTCAAAGAACAGGGACCAACCGGGGTGATATATGATCGAATGGACTTGTGGCTGCCACCCGGCAAGCAAACTATTTTCAAGTTGGAAGACGATTTGCCAGAGTTTTTCCAATTGCAATGCTCACCGAACCAGCAGAAAAAGCCAGAGAATTCAACAATCGAGAGTATACTTAGCAATGTTAATTTATTGTAGATATTACGTAGTGAATTACTTATGTATTTGAATTTGTTTTACAGCAAGAAGAACTTGTGTTAAATGTTCCTTATTTTTGTTGGTGAAAAAGTTTATGAATTCTTTCCTGTGTTTTTATTCTTGGTTGTTGGAGAAGTGGTGATATTTCAAGAGTGGTAAGAAATTGGCAAATTTGGAGTAAGAAAAAAAATCAACGATGAATATTAAATGGTTGTGAAAAAGCATCTTTCGCTTTAAATTGTGATGTTATCTGAAGCCACTTTCGAAAACAGTTAAAATTTCTTTAAAAAACGTTACACAATTTTCGAATGCTATAATAAGTGCCGTCTTCACAAGTAGGTTTTAAAATTTATCAGCCCTTAAAACACTTTTTGCGGAACACAATGTATGTTTAAATGGCACTCAAAATTTAAGGCCTTAATTAATGTGTGACGGTACTGATGTGAAAAGGACCGGAATGGGCGATATCGGGAAGGCATTTAAAAATTTTGCGGGCGGGACGGACCAAAATCTTTTTCCGAGAGCCCGATAAACCCCGCAACCTCCGCAAATTTAAAATAATAACTATAGATCGGCGCCTGCACATATGGTAGTGCTTGGCCGAGCTTCTCCTCCAATTTGTGGTGTGTGTTTTGATGTTGTCACACGAAGGGGAGAGACCTACAGTTTTACGTCGACTCCGAACGTCGGATGTATTTTTAAGAGAAGATGTTTAGTTTTTAATTTTTGGATTTTGTGTTGAACCGAGCTTGAACCCAGGCCCTGCGGATTGGTAGCGCGCAATGCTAACCACGTTTTTTTTATTATCTAAAATTAATTTGAAAGATATGTGAACTTTGCTTAGTGATAGATTTCGGGACCCGCGGCACTCTTCTGAAACACTTCGGGATGGGCGAGTTTATGACTTAAAAACTGAATTTCTGGATGGGCTGAATCGGATTTGAATATTTGGTCAGGCGTAATCAGAATGAGCACGAGTCGAAAATGCAGATGACAGATGCAAATAACTCACCTGATATTCTGGGGGGAATTTACGAAAGCAGACGACTCTATCACAGCCGTAACAAATGACCTATAGAACAACCGAGGTGATTGTGACGTCTCATGGTATTTATGGTCGATACTCAATAAGAAACAAACTAGAGAATTTTTCCCGTTAAAACAAATTCGTTGTAAGAGTTCTTGCCGGTGACAATGCACCAATGCTCTGACTATGGCGTATACCAACAAGTTTTCTAAGCATAAATGGTTTCACAAACACTATTATAACACATTGGTATAAACAAACGCATAGAGGGATTTACCTGCTCTTGGCACTCACACAGGGAATTTACTATGGGCAAGGCTGCCCCAAGTGAAAGCATGAATGAAAGCTTCTTACACGTCATCCTAACCTAAAGTAAACCTACTCGTTGCATAGGCAAATTGACATATTTTAAAGTTGGTGCGCGTAGAATGAAAATGTTAAACAGAGATGTCTAAATGTTGAGAGAAGGAGAAAAGTAATTTAACACCAACCTGTTGAGGAAACTCTTTCATTACTATTAAAGTTTTCGCTACATACTACACATGTATGTACATTAGGGTGGTCCTTAAATATAGGAAACAAATTTTTACACAAGATTTTCTAAGCCTCAACCCCTGGTCGATGCTACTATGCTCGAAGATATCACGTATAAATTTTAGTCCCAATTGGAGATTACTTTATGAAAACGTTTTAACCGTCTCTAATCTTGACCAAAATTTATATGTGATACCTTTGACTTTAGCAGTATCGATTTTGGGTAATAAATGAAACAAATATTTAAAATTTTTGTAGTCTCCATGGAGTCATCTGGCCCTTGTCCCCTTTATATGTGATACCTTCGACTATAGTAGTATCGATCTTGGGTATTAGATGAAAAAAAATAATAATTTTTTTGATTCTCTATAGAGGTATCCCTCTGCGCGGCACACCTTAACCGTCTCCAATCTGTGACCGTGGTATTAGCGATTGAGGGGGTGCGACTGAAAAAATCATTCATTTGATTTTTTAAGGACCACCCTAATGCACATATGTTATTTTATTTCATTCCAATCATTTGTCTTAGATATTGTAAAATTTATCGAAGAGCTGCATCGAAAATGAAGTGCTATTGCGTATGTACGTTTGTACTATTGCACAGTCATATAATTGTACAATTAAGCGACTGTTATAAGCATTGTTGGACTCGCAGGAGCAGTTAATTTGAGTTGACAGCAGAGAATAAAATGCATTCAAGTTTCCTCGGCTGCATTCATTCATTGAACGTTATTGAAACTGTACGGAGTGTCAATTATGAGTTTTTGTGGTGAATATTATATGCAGCAGGCGCACAGGCCGCACAGTGGTTCGGATCGCAAATCTAGCTGGACGAAACTATTTAAACAAATACTCGTTGATGGATCTTTACACCACTTCTTACCTAGGGGATTTTCGAGTCGCTGATTACGAATCTGAAGTCACTTATCAAAAATTCAAAATGGCGGATCCAATATGGCGGACGAAAATTAAAAAAAATCGGTAGATTTCTATGAAACTGGGTATCTGGGGGGTTTTCTGGGTCGCTGATTACATATCTAAAGTCATTTACCAAAAATTCAAAATGGCGGATCCAATATGGCGGACGAAAATTTGAAAAATCGGTAGATTTCTATGTAACTGGGTATCTGGGGATTTTCTGGGTTGCTGATTACGAATCTAAAGTCATTTACTTAATTTACTTTATTTACTTCGGAACGAGCATTTTCATCAGATATTTCTTTCAATTTACTAGTCACATAATCACGGACACCTTATTGTCTTTTAGAAGTTTCAGCAACACCAAATGTCAAACAACTCACTTCTTAAGATTTTCTTAAACACAAATAGATTTCAGAAAAAATTTTATAACAGCGCTTAAAGATTTGCATGCGTTTTATAATTTTTTAAATTCAGAAAGCAGAAAATTCGCGAGGTACTATTTTTTTAAACTCTTACATAACCAAAGGTTTTATAACTCCAAGTATTTTTCTGTTTTAACACACAACCTCTCCCCCCTCTCTCCCGTGGATCCGCCACTGATCTTATATTTATATTCAGATACATTCCTGATAATAATTACTTTGGAATTTTGAGATTTGACATACCGTCACTAAAATGTAAATATCTAAGCCAATTGGTTAGACTTGGTTATCGAACTTACCCTCT